TGGACTTGTCGGTGCTTTGAAAGACTTGCCAAAGTTTCAGGTTCTGAAGGATTGATGGGTCCTGCTGGGCCATGACACCACTGCTCGTTGCACAGCTTGTCTTCTCTTATCAGGGTGTGAGCATCAGCTGGGAAAGAGCAGATCTGCAGGACCTTGGGAAGGAATTAAACATCCTGGACAGATGTCGGCTCAGGCCTGTGCAGTTTCAGCTGAAGCTTTCCAGGCTGGTTTTGACCCGTTCCATTTCATGCAGAAAACTGTAGAACTGGGGCAAAGTTAACTCTACAGAAAAAAAAAAGAGGCATCAAGTCTTAGATTTCAGGTTACACTTCCAACATTGCTAAAGGCATTCTGGTGCTACTGGGGAGCAACCCCTGTTCACCTAAACTGGGCACGATTAGCCACTGTGACTCCTGGCAGCTGGTTCCTTACACTAGCCAGGCTGCCAGGGTGGCCAGGCTGGGATCTCTAACAGCACTCCATGCTTGGGAGTCATTTACTTTCCTCATCTGCTGTGCTGTGCAGCAGATCTGTGTTTACTGAGACACAGATGTGAAGATGCCCAGCAGTTAGCGTTCCTAAACACTTCCAGAGTGCCTGTGGCAGGGAGAGGCTGGGGCAGGAGAGGGCAGGGTGATGGGGGGGCCAGGACAGGAGCAGCGATGGTGGAGAGAGGCTGAGGTAGGAACAGCCACAGCAATGCTCTTGCAGTGACCCTCCCTGGGTTCTGCTCCCAGACTCTCCCACCTCCAGCAGCACCCAGAGCCCTGAACTGCTTTCACAGCACATCCTTCTTGTCCAGAACTGTTAACTCACCAACATACACGTTTTCCATTTGGCTTCCTTTTTTAATCACCAGCTTCAGCTTGAGGGAAGGAAAAGTAGAGGTATTTTAGTTCAAAGACCTGTATCTGAGCACCAGGAGAGGACAGCAGAGCAGGAATTTGCTGTGAGTTTCACACCACTGCACAGTACACACATCTTTGACAAGCTTTTCAAGAAGTGTCACTACAGGAACAGATTCCCTGGGCATTGGGAGGATCTCTGGAAGGCCTTGATCCCATTTCCCCTCCCTCCCCAAGGTGGTCTGACCTTTGCTTGATTGAGCTTCTTTGAACAGCTTTTCAGAGTGGGCCACGCTTCTGTGATACCTCATGTCTCCAGAGGAGAAACAAACAGCAGCATGCCTGCTCTCTGCTGGCAGTGGCACTCAAGAGACTGAAGGAGATGCAGTCACACAGCCTGTTCCCATGAGGCCCAGCTTCCCTCTCCTTCCCCTCACAGCCAGTACTTCCCACATGCCTGGTTGGAGCTTGTTCCTTACCTGCACTACAACCTGAACTCTCTGATGTGGGAGATTTACCTGTAAGAAGATACTTCCCACTTTTTCCAGCTCACTGCTCCCAGCAGTCACTGTGAGTCAGAAAGAAAAGAAGGCAGATAATCTGTTAGCTAAATGGTGAAATAAAGTTATTTAGCTGAGAGCTGCTGCTGAGCTTCCCAACCCACTCAGTTTATGTTGTAGCTCTATTACCTCCAAACTTCCACTCCATATCTACCAGCTGGTTAATCATCAGCGTCTGACCCACAGCCAGGCGTGTTAGGGTGGGGGAATTCACCTTCCACTGCAAGAGCAAGAGACACACCAGCAATCAATTCTGAGAGGCCTTTGTTTGTACCTGAAATTTCAACAGGAGTCAGAGCTGAGGCAGAGGATGGCAGAAGCCCCAAGTGGAGGATGAACTAAAGGGGTCAAGAGGGCTTTCAGAGGTGTTTGAGTCCTGCTAGGATTTCCAGCTGCCTTGTCGCTTCTGTAAATGAAACTCACTGGTTTTGTTTTAACACTGGTTCAGTGTAACCATATCTCTGCAAAAAGCCATGTGTTCATGTAACTGCATGACCTCAGGGCTCAAACCATGGGAAGCATAAAAACATCACATGAAAGCCACACAGTAGTGCAGGAGTCGTGACATTGATGAGGGAGAGGCCATGGCAAACCAGATGTATCATCACACAAACTGCTCCTTATTAGTTCTCTGAGGTTCTTCAGTTCAAAATGCTGAGGTGGTTTTGAAGCAAACACCCAAAGTGCCGACCCGTCTCAGGAGCACAGTGGGGTTTTACGAGTTCCCTCTCCCAGACTGACATTTTGTTAGCTTAGAAACAAGCAGAAATACATGAATACCTGTTCTGCAAAATAACTGGCTTTCTCTTCACTGAGGCCTGTGGGAGAAATCATATGAGATTACTATATGTGATAAATATTAATTATCTTGTATTTAGTGAGAGTCAGGTGACCTACCTAGAGCAATAAAATCTGCTCTGACTTGTTCGGAAGACAAATTCCTCTTCAGGGCACCTGAACAAACAACACATAGAAGAAAAATTACTTTTTACTGAGTCAAACCAATCTTTACTGAGTCAAAGAGAGGCAGGGACGGGACCGGCGATAGAAAGCCTCTGTTCTGGGCTGTGTTTTGAAGCAAACCACAGCTCCTCAGAGATCGGAAACCCAGTCGTGCCTGCCGGTATCTGTGCGGATGCCCAGTGCTTTAAAAGTCCGGGCTCTGGGAGTGCCTGGGAGAGGGCGAGATCCCATTGCAGGTATCCATGGGAACAGCGGCAGCGGTTGTGTTTTGAAGCCGCTGCTTTCTCTCCTGTAGCCGCTTTGCTTGTTAAGGGAGAACTGTTAAGGCTGGCGGGCTACTAATTTGACCTACCTGCTGTGTTTGGGATGATGGGTGTGAACGTGTGCATATAACACTTTCCCCCGCTGCGCCTCTCCCCTTTGTTCTGGGGCACAGGCAGCGCAGGGACCTTTACAAGGATTCTGCTCTCTGAAGCCAAGAGAAGGAATCTCGTAAATTCAAGGAGACTGCCAGCCCCACGTGGCTTTCAGGCTGTGTAGCACAGAGGCAAAGTTAGCTGCTGTGATCCATTCTGATACTGTCCGCGGCATGCCAGAGCTAAGGA